TAGTAAATGGTGGTTGAAGCAAAAGATAGAAATAATCTGTCGTTTGGGTGATCCCTTTCATTTGGGTGGCGGACCCTCCGTTAGGAGGGTCTGTAATTTTTGTAAAAAATGTAAGGGCCGGTTAGTCACATGCGACGAAGTTGTTGCCGCTGGCACCTGTGTGAGTGATAACGCCAGCTAGCTCATCGTTGTCGTTGAAGATAACACGGTCCGCACCAGGAGAGCTACCAGTATAGACCTTGCCACTGCGGAGAATGGGGAATTCGTAGTAGGTTCCGGAAACAGGGAAGTCGAAATCTTCGTAGTTGTGGTACTCGTGAGGGTAGTTGGAGACATCGTCATTTGCGCTGTAGAGCTTGTATCCGGCTGCCTGGGCGGCGCTGATGGCGCTGCTGGTGTAGCAGACTGTACCGCAAGTCGCAGCGCATGCGCGAGCTTCCACATCCAACGGGGCGGCAAACGCGCTGGAGACGAAAAGGGTGGCCAGGGCCAGGATCTGAGATTTGTGTTAAAAGGTTGATGCTGTTGATTTGGGACAGTGTATTACCTTGGTGTACTGCATTTTGGAGAGAAGATATACTTGACTAGCAGATTTGAGTGCTCGGCTGGCTATGTATATTTCTTGAATTGTAGACCTTCACTATTCATGGGAAAGGGGATTGTTTAAATATATCCTGCGGGAGGTCCTTTCGGGCTATGAAGAGCATCTACTCGCTATCTACGCGATGTTACATTCTGTGCATCCAGCCGTCTTGGTCTCTAATTGGCAATGGTATGCTGCAAGTCCAAAACGTCAATTCACGACCACCATACCAAATGGGGAACCATGACCGACCAGCGATCTTGAAGTATCGAAGCCAAGGCGAGGTACAAGATAGTCCGGATTTGGTCGATTGGGGGACGTGAAGAATCGAGTGGTGCCAGGGCTCCGGATTCCTGAAGACGCCCCGAGCTAAGAAGGCGATCGGCAGGGCGGGGGCTATTTGGGATGGGGCTTTCTTGTAGACCCATGCACCGAGATTACGAGGGTCTCACTCCCATCCGCCCAATCACCGCGCCAACCCGGCCACGATGTTGATCTAATGGTCCATTACTCAGGCCATGTTGGGGCCGGATAATTGAGTGAATAGTGATTTGTGAGGGCTCCAACAAACTCCTCGTTTCTTGTCAAGATAAGATATTTTACTCAAGTGCGCTTCGCATATATTGTTTTCCCCTCAGGTGTCCCCGCATTCCGACGGTCTCCGTGCTGATCTCTTAAACTATCATCTCTGTCCCGCTGCGTGCTGACTCGACTGCATGTCTTTTTCTTGGTTTTCTGTTGCCAGTCGCACAAAACAATATTCGGCGGTTATTCTTTGCACGGTAAATTAGGTCCGATTGTATCACATGCTAGTCTGCATGGCACTTGCGACGGCTGAATATAACCGAGGGTAGCTTTGGATTGTGTATGGATGGGTATAGTATAAGACGAAGGGCAACTGGTCTACCCTATAACAACTGAATAAATGCGAGACCACCACTTGCCGGCCTTCTTCGGTGACTCCGGCTCTTCCAAATCGACTTGCTCTCTTCGCCCGGTCCAGATGTCGATATCCTCCAGTCGGACGACACTGGTTTTATTCCAGAACTTGTACGCAATCACAAACAACACAAACACAGGGAGGAGGATATAGTTGATCACAAAGTCGGTCGAGCTGAAGGGGTTGAGGAAGCAAGTGTACCCTTGGAAGAAAATGAGGAACACATTTGCTGCCAGTGAGAAGTAGGTGCCCCATGGGTAGAGGAAAGCTTGGTATGGGAGCTTTGATGGGTCTTGGCCTTGCACGACCAGGGCTTTCCGAAATCGAATATGCGCAACTCCGATCACCGACCAAACAATGAATGTAGCAACTGTGTTTCGTTAGCATGGAATTTTTCTAGGAATGGTCCCAGAAGGGAAACATACCCCCTGAAAGGGTGATCAATGCCGAGTATACCCTCCCAGCACTATCAGACTGCCCTAGAAACACAATGCATGCGAAGATGTTGGTGAAAACCAGGCCCACCCATGGGACCCCGAGACGATTTGTCCGGCCAATGAATTTTGGAGCTTTTCCGTTGCGGGACATGAAAAGTAGGGTTCTAGATGCCACATAGAGCGAGCTGTTTCCTGCGGAAATGACACTAATTACGATGAGAGCATTGATGAGATGGGCAGCTGGGAGGATCCCAGCGTCCTGTAACGAGATTGTCAATGGAGAGCTGGCTGTCTTCGAAGTCTTGCCCAACAATCTCTCGTCATTCCATGGGATGAGCATTCCAATGAAGAAGATGGTACCTGGATATACTTCAGTAATGCTTCGATCTTCTGTTTCAATATGAACTTACCAACGTAGAAAATCAGGATACGCCAAAAGACCTGCCTGATAGCCTTTGGCACTGCTTTTTGGGGATTCGCCGATTCTCCGGCGGTGATGCCGACCCTAATTTGACTGTCAACTTTGCCCATTTCCCACCACCTCCGATATTTGGAAACAGAAACATACATTTCAGTCCCAGCATACAAAGTTCCTGCAACAACAAAGGTTTTTGCAACGCCGTTGATTGAATCTGCAAATGCCCCTGGAGCATGCCAATATTCAAACCCAATAGCGCGCGGTCCAATGCCACCTGCGCTAATGATAATTGCGAGAATGAAAAAGACAATCAATGCCAATACCTTGATACTGCAGTCTATTAGGCAATCTGATGCTTCAACCCCAAGCACGCGAAGACTTACAGAGATAGCCAAAATTCCATCTCGCCATAGGCCAAAATCCCGAGATTTGACAGGGTAAGGAACATCACCCAGAAGATCAAGATCCAGCCCCATTGAGGAACAGCATCTGTCCAGTACCCAATGACGAGTGATATCGCGTTGTATTCATTTGCAAGAACCTGGAGTGTTCTGTTAGTAAGAGATTCTTCATACTCGAACCCTCAATGTATGTCATACAGTCACCCATAAGTACCAATACGCCCATCCCAGCGCGAACGCAAGAGAGTCGTCAATAAAGCGCTCCGCATACTCTGTGAACGATCCAGTCACAGGGAGGAGCGTGGCCATTTCACCCAGCGATTGCCTATAGCCATCAGAATCATTCTTAGGATCAGAAAATGCACTCCTTACATGACGAAGAAGACGATAATGCCGACCAGCGAGAAGCTAATCAAAGATCCTGCGGGTCCACCCTCGTGCAGCGCATTGCCCGAGCTCACCAGCAGACCAGGACCGATAATGCCTGAAAATACTTTGGTCAACATCAACTATATAAAACAATGCGACCGCAAACTCACCTCCAATAGCGATCATTTGTAGATGTCTAGACTTGAGCTGCCGCTTTAATGGTGCAGACATGGGATCTGTCGCAATCTCTTCATCAGATCGGTTTATCTCCTCCGATCGCAAGCTTTTCGTAGCGCCATCTTGAACAGGCCCTCTGTATGTTACGGCGCTGAAATCCGTTTTGTCGGTCATGTCGAGAAAGATTGCATACAAACCGAAAACAGGTCTCAATTCAGTCAAATCGGAGAGATAGAAACTGTTTCTTTTTTTTTACACAAAAGCACCCCTGGACATGTTAGAGCCGATAAGGAATTTCCTCATTTGCTGCTGATGTCGTGATAAGAGACGGGAGCGGCGTCATGGGAGATTTTGTGGGGCGATTGGATCGGAAAAAGGTACTTGGAATGGTATCATTTCTTATATACAATATTTGCATACTATTTGGACAGAAGAGTGATAGAATGCTGGGCATCTGAACAACCAGATTTTGCTTGGGTACAGTTTAGCAGATTATCATCTTCTCGCAGGCTACCCTTCAGGGAAGGTGGGAACTCTGGAAAAGAAACGGGAATTTAGCTGGGAACTCTCAAAATTTCAAGCGCATAAGGAAGAAAGAAAGAATCGCTCGAATGTTGCCTCAGACTGGCGTTAAGATTTGGCATCAGAGCCGGGTCAGTGCGAGCAGCGATGTTTCATCATTGGCATCAAGCAAATCAATGTGGAGCGATCTTCGAACTCACCGGCAGTATTAAGAAGGGAAATTCGAGGGCAAGATAAAGGACAATAGTCCAACAGCAATGACTGGTAATGCTGAAATAGTGGCTCAGAGCAACAGTTTTTATTTCAATGAAGTTCAACCCTAACAATGGTCTCATCATTGCCAAGCGAGTTGCCCTCAAACACATGATTAAAAGATATGTTAGCAATGTAGGGAATTCCCTAGAAATTAGCAACGAGAGCATCGAGAAGAGAGATCGGAAGGGTAGGAGATATGTTGGCAATATCCAATCTAGAAGTAAGCAATGGGAGCATCGAGAAGAGAGATCATAAGAGTATAGGAAAGGAAAGAACAAGCAACAAAACAATGCTTATATGGCGGCTCAGAACACCTTTTTATTTTTATTTTTTCAATGAAGTTTAACGCACGCGAAAAGTATTTCGTCACTTTTCTCCAAGTTGCCCTCAAGCGTGGATGTAGGGGATATGTTGACAACATACATGTAGGAAATCCTAATCTGGAAATTAGCCGCAGGGTCGAGAAGGCACTTCGAAAGATCGTAAGGATATAAGGAAGGGACAGGACAAGCAATGGCACAATGCTCAAATGGTGGCTCAAAAGACAACCAACTTTGCTTCGTCAATTATTCCGATATCAAGACTTTTTCATCATCGCCACCAAGCAAAGTGCCTTTGGGGGTATGCAGGAAAAGCTGAGGACTTAAAAAATACTCCTTTAAAAAGCATCGAACCGCCGAATAGACTGGCAAGTGCAATAAACAAAAGCAAAGGGCTCAAAAAGTGCCTCAAACAAGTGTAACTTGGTCATCAAGCGTGTTCAGTAGCTCTCTTTTTTCATCATTCGCACCGCGCAAATTGTGGGTAGTAGTCTCACGTAGCTAGCAAGGTTCACACCATAAGAACTCAGCTCTAAAAAAGACAGTTAGCAAAGGGAGCGTTGAGCAGAATAGCAAAACTAGTAAGTGATATAGACAAAGGCAAAGCGCTCAAAGGGTGCCTCAGACAAGTGTAGCTTGGTCATCAAAGATGTTCAGTTAGCTCTCTTTCTCCATCATTGGCCATCAAGCAAATCGCAGATAAGGGAAAGGTCGATAAATGTCAGAGACCTTAACTCTGGAAATTGGCAAAGGTAGTCAGTATAAAAAGAAGAATCCATGATAAAGATAATCCACAAAGGCAGGAATTTTGGATGGTGCATCAGATTTCCGTTGCATATTAATCAAGGATATTCAGCAGAGCTCTTTTGTCATCATGCCATCAAGCAAATCACCAATAGGCAATAAAAGGATAGGAAGTTGAGGAAATGGGAAGTGATAACAGCAAGGCGATGACAACTCACTTGGTCAAAATGGAAAAGGAGTACCGAAGGCCCAGTGGGAAATGGGATGAAGGGGCTGAGCTAAAAAGGCGCAATAATATTAGCAAATTTCAAGCCAGCGGTTGCAATGGGCTTGGAATAGAGAGATTTCCAACAGATATAGGCTCAGACATAGGGGGTTTGTTTTCTTCAGTCCTCGGCCCTTTTTTTTTGAGGCTGACAAGAACAGATACTACACATGAGCCGAGATTTAGGTATAACCCTTTTCATCATCGCCAGTTGAGAGTCACAGAACGTAGAAAGGGACTTACAGTTCCATCAGCAAGGATGAGCAGGTATATCGAGTAGGGAGATGACGATGGTGGATCTGCCGAGAATGCAATGATATTAGCAGAATCCAATCCAGAAGTGAATGTGCGTTCAAAAGGAAAAGTTTCCATGAAATGTAGGCTCAGATGTTTGGAGGGTTCTTTTCTTCAGTCCCCGGCTCTTTTTTTGGCTGAAAAGAACAATACTACACATGAGCCGAGGTTCAGGTATAACCCTTTCCATTGATAGTCACAGAACGCAGAAAAGGGCTTAGAATTCTAGTAGCAAGTGCCATTTCGGAACGAGCAGGTATACCGAGTAGGGAGATGACGACAATGGTGGATCTGTCAAGAATGCAATGATATTAGCAAAATTCAAACCGGCCGTTGTAATGGGGGTTGGAATAGAGAGCTTTTCAACAGATGTAGGCTCAGATGATGGGGTCTGTTTTCTTCAGTGCTCTTTTTTCTTTTTCTTTTTCTTTTTTTTTCTCTTTCTTTTCTCTTTGAAAGGAACAGATACTACACTCGAGCCGAGGTTCAGGTATAGCCCATTTCATCATCGCTAACTGAGAGTCAGAGAACGCACAAATGGACTTGCAATTCCATCAGCAAGTGCCATTTGGAAATGACCAGGTCTAACGAGCAGAGAAATGGCAATGGCGTCTCTGCTAAGTTCGGACGGTGGATCAGAAATCTCAGAGCGAGAGCAGGTATTGGCTGTTATCACTGCCATATTGACAGCCCATAAGTGGTGCAGGGCTAAGGCAAGATGCTCCCATTAGCAGATGCGACTTCAAAAACGGAAGAGCATCACAAGCAGATACGCCAGTGATCTGTGTAAAGAAGGCAATGGGTTTCAAATAGTGGCTCAGATATAATTGTGCGTTCGTCAGGCCTCCGAATGAAGAAACGAGGTTTTACCATCATCATTGAACCACCGGAAGAGCATGAAGACATAGGCCTGGGGAGTAGTCATGGCAAGGATAGGTCTGGGGAAGATATGCATTTTCCCTGGAAGATGCCAGATAGGGCTGAGCCAAGGCATGAGAACAGGCATGGCCGTCGTCACTGTGATATTGATGACCCAGAATACCAGGTAGAGACTAGAAAAGAACGATTTCATTAGCAGATGAAAATTCGTAAACACAGGCGAAGAGTGTAACAAGCAGGTATGCCAATGATGATTTCGTAAAGGCAATGGGTTTCAATCGGTGGCTCAGACATAATTGTCTTTTCGTCAATCCTCAGAATCAAGAAAGAGGTTTTACCATCATCATTGCACCGCCCAAAAAAGAACCATGAAACCCATAAGCCCAAGAAAAGTCATGGCAAGGGGGATAAGGCCGGGGGGAATTATGTACTTTACCTCAAAAATGGTAGATGGGGCTGAGCTAAGGCGCAACAACAGGTATTTGCCGTCACCACGGCCACATTGACAGCCCCGAATGGAGAGACTAGAAAGAAGCCATTAATTAGTAAATGCAACTCCACGAACGAGCAAAGAATTTATCAAGCAGGTATCCGTGGATGCCATTGATAATTTGTAAACAAGGCAATGGGTTTCAAACGGTGGCTCAGATATAGCAGTGTGTGCATCAGGACTCAGCGCATCGTAGATCTCATCATTGCAGCACCGAAAGAACGTGAAATCCATGACCAAGACTTAGTAATGGCAAAGAGGATAATGAGGGGGTTCGTATACACTCTACCTCGGAAATGGTAGATGGGGCTGAGCCAAAGCAGGCAAATGGGTAGGCCCTGGTTGAGTGAGATGTCAGTGCAAGGGAACTGCCATGGTACCTGAGGAAAAGAGGGAGGGATGAATGCGTCATCTTCGTCATCATCATCATCATTGAACCCAGAGGGAGTAGACATGAAGCCGATAGAAGCACGTACAACTCAGCGCAAAAGAGGACTCTACAGTGTAATGAATGGAAAGGGAAAAAGGGGACAACATACCAAGGAGAAGGTAAACGAACCACGATTGATAGTTGGAAAAGAAAATAAAGACAAGAAACAACCTGGGAAAAACGTGCGACGACTAAGCGAAGTACGTCGACTAAGCGAGTAAACGAGCCACCTAGGTAGCGAAGCCATCGACTCACCAAGCAAAACGTGTATCTGTATGAACGAGACTCACCAAGGTACGACCAATCCTGCAATGTGGTACGAGAGACTATAAAGGTGTATTGGGAGTCAAATCCAAGCAACAATGCAACGAAAAAGAGTAGAAGTATGAGGTTTCTGGAGCCAAATGCAAGGAGATGGGATGTGTGGGAGGGAAAGTAAACAAGACAGGTAAATCCGAAGTTGAAAATAATTATATACTCGTACTTCACGCTGATTGGCGGGCGGTGCATTCGGACCGAGCGCTGATTGGTAGATTTAACGGATCTGGGGTAAATGTATACATGGCTCAGATCCGTTAAAGGCTGCGATGTGACACGTTTAGCCCTACACGCATCAACAAAGGTATTACAATAAGACTTGGTGAGTTTGTATCTAAGGTACTAATCTCAATTTGCACGAAATCTCACGTTGAGAATCGACGTAGTGCGTGAGATAAAGTTGACTACGTTTCCATTGGAGATCAAGGTTCGCAGTCCAGGTACCAGCATCTATCTCAACCGTGGCATTACCCTGGGGCGGGCCGCCTTAGCGCTACCGCCTTGTAATTACGAGGATTCAATGTACATAACTCTAATTCTTAGCTCAGAAGAACGTAGCCATTGCCAATGAAGAGAATGAGTCAAAGAGGCGACGGATGAATAGGGAAAATGAGCACCGACAACTCAGCACAATGATCGCTTACCACTAAGCGAAGA